ACATGTACACTTTATTACACCACACCTATAGTAATCGGCCACGATCGATCCACTGCTGAAATGGGGGCCTTTTCGAATTTCTAATCCTCCGCGACCATCCTGCACACACACCGCTGATGGCATCGCTCCATCTGCCTGGCGATCGTCCTGTCTGACGCGTTCCACCCCCTGGCTGCCCAAGCACACTTTTCTTAACAGGGCCAATGCCCGAAACGTCGCCTATCATATATGCATGTGTTTTTTTTTTCATTCAGGCATCGTTGTCGACGAGTGCTAGTTTTGCGGTGTTAATTGTTGCTTGTGCCACCCACGTGCCAACTCAGCGTCGCCAAACGGTGAGAACGATGCCTTCGAAATGCGTATGCCCTCTTGATCCGTGTGCAATTGCCCCTCGTCGTCTCTCTCGATGTAACGCCGAGCGTTCGTTGGCACGCTTTTGAGCTCGCGTTCCCTTTTCTCCGTCGATGACCACGTTTCCCGCTACGTCTGTCACAGCAGGGAATACGTGCGGAGCAATCCCAACGAGTTCGTTGTTTGGCACCTCGGCATGTACAGGTTTTTTTTTCCTCGCTTTATGCGGTGGATGCGTTCAAAATAAATAAAATGGGCGCACAAAGGGAAAACCACACTAGCAGCGCATGCAGCACACACACAATGTTGACGTCTGCCCGCATAGCCGCATATAAAATAGGTTGGCACACACCGAACCCGCATAAAGCGAGGGGAAACCTGTAATGGGTATTTATTATCAAGTTCAGACTTTTCAACGGCCCGCGAACCTGCTCCCCCATGCATCATCTAATGTATTTCATAAGCTATTTAAACTTTAAAACTATGTTACCAGGTAGGGTCCACTGAGCGTTTAGCCTCTTTTTTTTCATAAGCGACCTGGCTACCACAAATGATAGCTCAACAAAGTGGCTTATCACGTGGACATTTATAGCAGCCAAATACTCTAAACGCGTGATGTTGATTTTAAATGTGGAGGGGAAACCCCGTAGGACCCGGAGAAAAAAAATCCACGCGGCCACGTGGAGAGAGACACGCAGACTCCAATTAGACAGGCGTCAGGGTCAGGATTGAACCCACGGCCTCATGCATACCGGGCGAGGTTATTAACATGACACCACCACGGCCTCCCCCCCATCATCGTGCTCCCGGTCCGCGTTCAATGGCTGCTCTCGAGCAGGGTACACCTGTGCAACACATGGTTATGCAATGTTATACGAGGCATGTATACACACCCGCATTATATACATGTCGTGGGGTTAAAAAGTATCTGGGCTGTAAAGGGGGTTGACATGGTTAGATGATAGTGGTAACAGCCTTGTTGACGCTTCTGTGGTCTATTTTTTGAACCACTTTACCAACTTCTGCCAGACTTTCGGTCGCGCGCGTAGTGGGCCGACGTTTGCGCTCAGCCGGCCACCAAAGTTCTATTCCCGCTCAGGGCCAACATCCTGGCTCCACCCCTACCTAGGTCGACTTGGGTCTCCAAACGAGCAGCTGGCTGCGGAGTGTGAACATGGCCACTGGGGAGACAAAGGCGGCCGGGCGGGCGTGGTGTTGGCCACCCACATTCATCGGTGCTCCTCGCTAAACAGCACTTGCCCCGACTGTCTGTTGCAGGCTATGCGCGGAAACTCTTGTCTTTTGTCTTGTGTGCTCGCCGTAGCTCCAACGTTTATATATTTTTTTTTGCACGTGCGGTTTTCACCGGTTATAATGAATGATAGCACGGGGACAGACGACGACGCCAGGCGTGGTGTTTCATAGAAAGCATCGCGAGCGCGCACGCACGGCACCCGCACGGCACCCGCACGACGCAGGTGTTGACGTTCGCGCGTGATGCGTGCTGTTCGACCTGCGGCTGTTATAATCTCCACGCGTGTTCGTATGCAAAGTTGCGGCGTGGCATTCGTGTTCCCCTCGGGCTACTACGACGCGACGTGGCGAGCTCACCTTGTTTGTGTGTGTCTGTGTGTGTGCTGTTTCATTGAGTAACTTGAATTTGTAAAAATAAAAAAGGCAGGAAATTGCCACCTCTTTACACGCATAATCACCATCGGTTATAATGTAAACTTTGTTTAAATAAAAAATGGTATTGTTCTGAAATGCACAAAGCAAGTTATGCACCAGCTAACAAGACCGCTGTCTAGGTTCGAGGCCCATTGTCCGAAACGTTATTATATGTTATTTTAGGGTCACAACGTCATTGACTTCAAATGCGTTTGTGCCCCACTGCCCAAACGCAGAGCCACCTTCATCGTGCCGCTCATAGACCTCGCCGATGCGTACTCGGGCCCTGCACATCGCCTGTTGTCCCGCACGCCGTCCGACGTTTCGCTGCAAGTGTTGGTGAGCTTCTTTCCGAGGAGGCGGGGTGGAATAAAATACAACAAAAGAACACTTTAATCGCGCTCTGTTTCGATCCCACCGCTGTGTGAAAACCTCAAAGCCGCCCGCCCCTATCAACCACGAGGGTGGGCGCGGGCTGGTTTTTACCATACTTCACCACGATCATCACTGCGTTGAGTCACCCATCCAAGCCGCCTCTGTCTGCTGCTCTATCTCTTACGCACGCACGGTAATCACTGTGTGATTCACCAACCCCGCTTCCCCACCCACCCACGCGCTCCTCTGTGCAGCCAGCGGCGTGAAGCAATGACGTCGCCGGTTATAGCCCGAGTCAAGTGCTTTTATGGGCCCGTGGGTTCTGTGTTTGAGGGCGCGTCCCACGTTGCCGCTCTCAGACAGCCAAAAGCCCGCCAGGCAGCTGGCAAGATTTACATACGCGCGTGCGTGCGCGTGTGCGCGTGCGCGCGTGCGTGCGCGGGGTGAGTGGGTGTGGGGAGCGGTGGCGCAGTGGTTAGCGCGCTGCGCGATGAAACCCGTCCGGACCCGAGTTCGAATCCTCTTCACGGCCATCAGCAACCTATTGACGATTATCTGAACCGGTCCTGGGACCCCCCCCCCTCTCCTAGGTCGACTCGGCCTCAAATTAGTCACGGCACCTGGTGTGTTGGCCACGCAACGGCTCGTGTGTCCGTGTCGGCCTTTATGGGTGGAACTCACAAACAAAAACCTCGTCCCGACAATATGTTCAAGGATATACGCGGTATCTTTGTTTTCTTCTGTTTGTGTGTGTGTGTGTGTTGGGTCCGCGTGCTAGGCACCGCGCTCGAACACACGCGTTGTAAACTTAATAGGTGCTCGCTAACACCACTTCCCCCAAGCATCGAGGCGCGCGCGGTAGGGGGCTGGCGGTGGTGTCGGTCTTTGTTTTCTCGGTGTGGGGGGGGGGGTAGAGGTTGGGGTGGGGGGGAGTTAGAGACAATAAAATAAAAAATAATCCTACCGTTAGTTAAAGAAAGCGTTTAGTCCCAAACAAAAGGGAGTTGGGGTTTTTTTTATGTATTTATTTGAACGAACTCTTCGTGTGTGCGTGAGTGTGTGGCTTGCCGTACGATTCGCGCACAGGTGTGCCCGTGTTCTTCCTGGACTGCTTTTCACGCATCGAGCAAAACCTCTTGCGGCAGACACAGCAGGAGGAGGAGGGGTGGGGGGGGGGGAACAGGCGCAGCCCTGCAATTGCTCGCTCACGCCACTGCTGGCGGAATGGCCTCTGCTCGCGGGGGCTCTAGACTGTAGAGAAACCCCTCCATAGGGGGGAGTGTATTTTGGCCTACTCTTCCACGCTGGCAAGGCGCCCTTGGATAGAGGGTCGGGGTAGGTAACCCACACTATACCTCAACACATGCGACACGCCGAACAGGTGGTGGTGGTGGTTGTGCTCGGTTATACCCGCTGGGTAGGAAGAAGAAGGAAGAGGTGGTGGTGGGATTCTTAATAAACTTTGACAAATAGTTTCCACTGCCACGTACCGGGTAATCGAACCGGCGACTTCTGGATTGCCTGGTCCCACTTGTTCTAACCATCACGACACGCAGCATCTCTCCCAAGCAAGTGCACCGGCATTCATAGTGAAGCCAGCTCCCGATGGGTGAGGTCCACAAGAACGAGAGACTCGTCCAGGGCTTGCTTTGCTTCCTTCTGTTTGAGAAAATGTTGCTGCTGGTTAACGCAAATCGGCAGGGGAGAGAAGCCTTGGATGGACTATGGACTAAAACCATAATGTGGCGATATGGGAGTTAGAGATCATCGGCCATGATCAATCTACTGCTGGATGAATTCCTCTCAAAGGAATGGGTTTGTGATAGTTTATTTTATTAACTAGGAATATCTCGGCAGCGCTGATTGAAGAACTGGATTACGCAAACGTTCACAGGCGATACACCTATGATGCGTACCGTGTAACTTATCCTGCTGTGAGTGACATTCGAAGGAGATGCGAGGCGCAACAAGTCTAGTCGTGTTAGATTGGTAGAGCGGTGGGGCCCAGTGGTTAGCATGGTGCACTGAGACTAAAAGTGGGAGGTAAGATGTTCCCAACATCTGAATCGATCCCGGGTGCCCTTTGTCAATCCACTGCTTGTTAAAGGTCTCTCCAATCCGCGCCGGCCGTGGTGGTGTTGGTTCGATTCACCATATTTCACCAAATGAACGAAGTGACTTACTCTTTTCATGATTTTAGAATGTGTGGCCTTGACGTGTGTCTCGATGTTACGTTCAATAGTCGCCTGCAGGTGGCGCAATTTGAATACTAAGACGAGCGAAAATGGTGTACGTAGTTTTTTTGTGTGTGGAAGAATTGAAACGGTCATCAACAGTACCATACATCGTCAGGCATGATCAGTCCACTGCTGGATGAAGCGTCTGTCCAATCCACCCACCAGCGGCACTTCTTACGATCCAGCGATGAAAGGATAATACTGCACACTGCTATCGTGGTGGTTACTAGTATCTCTTTTTCTCCTCTTGGTGTGACTCAACACATTATGATGGTAAACTGCACCACGACCCATTGGTTCGCTCGCGCCACGTCCCGGGATTATCCCCGGACGTGGCGTTCAGTTGGAAAAATGAGACCCGAGCACGCGTTTTAGTTGGTGTATAAACGGTAAAGTGCATGACATGTTTATTATTTTGTACATTAAAAAAAACGTCTCTTTTTTTTGGAAGATCGATTTTTTTTTGTCTTTGGTATGCACTGCACAACATACTCCTTTTTTTCCCTCTCTCAATACAATCATGTACGTTTTATCGCACTAGTTTAAGGCGTACAGCATTGTGCGTTTTATGTATATATACAGATATATACAGTGCACACGTTTTTTTTTAAATCTCTCTCTACATTACAGTACAAAATATCTCTCGCAGCTTCGCGTTGCATTCGTTTGCACGCACGTGTATAGGCAATGTGTTTTTTTGCTCTTCAGACGGCACACAAAACGGACGACCTCTAAAAGCGACGCAGGCACTTATTTGACCACTAACGCTTGGACGACGATCATTGACGGCACAAGTGCTCCAGGGTGAGCTCTGTGCGTCTGATTTTAAAATCGCCTCTCGTAAAGATGACCCAATATCGACTCCATTTTCAGCATAAAGTCGCGTTTGCTACTTCGGGATTTTTTTTATTTTTAGCCTAGAGAAAGGAAAAAATAACCGGTCGAAATTTTATCCAAAGGTTTCGCGCTAAATCTTGGTAATTAAAAAAAACAGCGCTAAAAGTTTTTGGAGCATAACGTCATCGCCGCTAATTAAAAATGCGTCAGGGACCCGCGACCATTGGAGAGCTTTCGGCAATTCATGCATGAGCACGAATTTTCTTTCCGTATTTCATATTTTTTGTTTTAAAATGTATCTTTTCATATATATATAAACAAAGCTTTACAAAAGTCCACGGTAGAATGCTGGCATCGCGTCGCGGGGGGCTAATTGTCACCAAGGCCTCCATACAGAGTCTGCGCCCATCAGAGCATTGATGGGGATGGCCGACGCCGTCATGGGGCACCCGGCGGGGTAGGGGTGGTGCCGGAGTCCCTTTCCGGGGCTGCCCGGGTGGCCGGGAGACCCCGCGCTGGAGCCGGGCGCGTACATGGGGATGAGGTGAGGGTTCGGGATGAGGAAGGCGATCTGTCCGTCGGGTCCCGGCACCAAGTGGAACCCTCCGTACACCTTGCCCGCCCCCACGTTCGAGGCCGGCCCCGCGGTGGTCTGAGACAGCAGCACGTCGGCTAACGCCGGCGGGCTGCCCTTGCAAGCGGGACCTCCTCCACCGGGCAGAGCCACACCACCAGTGCCGCCGCCGCCGCCAGCAGCAGCAGCAGCACCGGCACCACCACCGCTAGCGTTGGAAGCCACAGGGACCTGTCCACCCGGTGCGCCGGTAGGAAGCGCCTGAGCGTAGTGCGATGGTGGTGGCATCATGCCGGCGGGTCCGTGGTGGTGTCCTTGCGGGTAGCCGCCGCTCATGGTGGAGATCTGGGCCATGCAGTTGGCCAGGTGGCTGAGCAGACGGGTGCGCACCTCCGCGTTGACGCCCTCGCACGTGGACAGGAATCGCGTCACCTCGGTCATGCATTCGTTGAAGCCGGCCCTGTACTTGCCCAGGACGCTGGGGTCCGTGTTGAGGGCGGCTGTATAAAACGCACGCAGAGACGGACAAGACAAAAGCACGAATCGGTTAGACATCGACGTCAACTCCGTGTACAGGCACTGGGCGGATTGATTGGTTGCAATGGCGGGATCGTGGAAGAGGGGCGGCTAGGGGAGGCCTTTATCCAGCAGTGGATTGACCAAGGGCTGGAGATGATTATAATGATGGGACATTTGTTTTTTACGAGCAGGAATCCGCGTTATGGCGCACTGTAAAAGGAACCGCGTGTTATCTGTGTTATATACTCCCGACAACGTCTAACATCAGTGGTGAGTGATGTCTAAACCGCTCCCAGAACGCCACTCCAAGAACCAGCATGTCAAGTATGGTCAATCAACCCCCATTTACAGCGTAGGGCGTGGGGCGGGGGCGTCATCCAGCAGTGGATTGACACAAGGGGCTATAATTTATACACAGGATTCGCTAGGGAAATTTTGTTCACGGCCCGATTCATTTATCAAGCGCGTCTGGCAAGCCTCCTTCAGGGAGGGGTTTCCCTTATTTTTTTTCGTGCAAAGAAAGATAGAAAAAAGTGCTTGACCAAAAATAACGCATCCTGTCACATTTAATAGACTTCGAGACATGCGCCCCATAAACAAAGTCCCTCTGGACGGAACTTGGCATCGCTACCACTGCGCTAGGTAACTGGCTGCCTGCGTCCCTATCCACCCACCCACTCACGACCAAGGTGCGCGTATTACTTGGCAAATTAATTAATACTCTTGCTGCAATATAACAATTGATCGCTCATGGTCGATGCACCTGCTGTCGGTAATGGGTGATGTGGCGGGGGGGGAGGGGGTGACCATACTTCACCACGTTGACCCAACACGGGTTTGTCAATGGGCGTTGGTGCTGATGTTTCAACACCGCTACAGGAACTCGTATTTTAAGGCTGAATCGACCTAGGGGAGGCCCAGGGACCGGCTCAGATATTGGCCACTGTTTTTGGTCGTCGGGTTCCTAACCCAGTGTGCTAACCACTGCGCCACCACTCCAACCGACACACACAATAAAAGTTCTACTAAACGATACAACGTTAGAGATTACTTCGCTTTAAAATCGTAGGATTTCCCCCCAAAAATGTATCATATTTTCCGATGTTAAGTTATTGACAGATCCAAACTGGACATTAGTCACACAGCAGCGACCGCGTTTTTTTTTAAGTTTGGCCGCTGGTCCGTATCTCCCTATATAACAAGTACGTGGTGAGGTTTGTCAAGAAAATCGCCCACTGGGGAGACAAAGGCGGCCAGGCGTGGTGCTGGGCCATATCCAATCGTTGCCCCCCCCCCCTCCTCCCCGTCCTGTGCCGTGTTGGCCTTCACAGGTGCTCGCTATAACAGCACCTCGGCCCAACAGCAGCATCAAGTCTGTTAAGGCTGTGAATATTGCGCTTGTCTGCCCAGGCCCGTGTGGTGTGGTCGCAGCTCACCTGTCATTTGAACGCGCTGCAGGTTTCTTAGGTGCTTGACCGTCATCTCCAGGATGTCCGCCTTCTCCAACTTGGAGTGGCGAGAACTCTATAACAATCCAAACCACGGACGAAACAAAGGTTAGCTATATACGACATCCTATGGCACTTGGGCATGTGCATACCCAACACAATAATTAATAATAACCAATGGATAATAATAATAATAATGATTTACGGCTCGGCTGTATGAAGAAAGCTTATAATGTAACTTTTTTGGAGGTGCGTCGTGGGAGTTTATTTTGACCAGGACAGGTCCAGACATAATGCGCCACTGATGTTAGCCGTAGGCCGGGAATTGAACTCGTGTGGTTTTCACCCAGTTTGTAACCACTGCTCTGCCCCGCCGCACGTAATCGCCATACAGTGGCAGACCCACGGTCGCAAGTTTGATATTCAACTACGGTTGTCGCTGAAATTGAACCCTGAATTGAACGACTCCGTCTCTGCTTTATAACATCACGTAGAGTGCGGTTTAAAAAAAAGTTTTTACTTAAATCTAACCATACCGAGCCGTTACTTTTGCGCTATGTAAAGCAATATAACGCTTGTGTGACCACGATTTATAAATATAATGTCGTATGAGCATGGAAATACGATAGGTATCACTTACGTCTTTTTTTAAGGCGTCCAGGATGAGCGTCTTCAGGTGACCCAGGCTCTCGTTGATTCGAGCTCTCCTCCTCTTCTCCATGATCGGCTTGGAGGACTGGAAAACGTGAGGCGCACACAGACCACAGTTTTGTTAACTCCATGAAGTGTACCGCATGTTGAACTTCTTCTGTACGCACCGTACGTAGCCAGGACCGCGCTCATCGGAAGTTGCGGAGGTAGGAGAATAAACTAAACGCAAGAAAGCAGTTCTAAAGAAATGCGTTTTCATTCGAGATTTTGAAAGTACATAGCTACGGGGGGCGTCCAAATATCGGAAGGAAGAGTGTTTCAGACGGCATGATGATAATAGTTCTTATTTGTATACACGACAATTTCAACGTGCGCATTGTTTTCCCACTCGTTTTAAAACTAACTTTTAAATAACAGTTCGCGTGCCCCATTTGCACGGTTTTGTGGTTGTAGACAATCGACGGTGGACGTTCCAAGGTGGTGGACCACTCACTTTTCGGTGCTCACTCGCCGTCTTTGACTTCTCTGGGATGGAGTTGCAGGCGGTCACGGCGGCCACAGGCGACACGGACACCTTCTCCATCATAGTGTCAGCCGGCATCTCTGCTTGCTGCTGCTGCTCGTCTTTTTTAATCAACGAAATGTATGAACCTTCCTGGACGTTTGCGTTGAGTGTAGTTTGGCTGTATGTGTCGCTGAATGAATTTTATCCACGAGTACAAGTATGGTTAAGATGATGATGGTAGTGGTGGTGGTGATGATGATGATGACGATCAGATGCACCAAAAACACTATTTGACGCCAAAATCTCGACGACCAAGAAGACAGTACGCCGTTGACGTCTGATGGTGTGCCTCTTCCCCGTGGCCGGATCGTCCGTCACCCCGAGTGAGTCTCTGGGTCTCTCGTGCCCAGGGTCGCGCGCCGCGGACGCACGCACGCGCGCGCGTGTGGCGGTGGCGTTGGAGGAGGCGGTGCAGTGCGGGCGGGCAGGCAGGCGCGCACGCGCGCGCGTGTTCGTGTGTTTGGAGAAGCAAAAAAAAATGGGTGGAAAGAGGGGTGGGTGGTGGAGGGGGGGGTTTGTGTCTCTGGCTCGTGTCGGCGCAAAGGGGTGCACGGGGGACTCCGCGCATTTATAGGGAGGTCGGGGGTGGGGGGGCGGGGCGGGCGTGGGGGGGGGTGGGCAGCGTAGCGTGCCCCTGCTCGGCGCGTGTGAAACCCTTCACGGATTCTTTCCCACACTCGCGGGCCAATCACGGCCCAGTGTGCACAACACAGGCGCGTGGGGAGGGGGGGGAGTGTGGGTGTGGGGGAGGGTAATGTGCGGCTTGCCCCGAGTGTTGGGGAGACGCGCGTGCGCGCGCGCGTGCGTGTGTCGAGAGACCGAGGGAGAGTGCGGCCGGCGGCGGGGGGGGGGTAGAGGCGAGGCTGGTTGGCGTGGGGGGGGGGGGGCTCGGGTGACTGGCTGGTCGAAGCATGTATGCGTGGGGCTGTGCGGTCAGAGGAAGGTGGTGGTGGTGGTGGAGGATGGAGAGGGGGGGTTAGAGGTATACGGTGGTGGTGGGGGATCTGGAGAGTGGCGGCGAGAGGAGGAGGGAGAGGAGAGGGGGGGGGGTCTCGACGGAGCGTTTCCCCCCCCTCTCTCTCTCGCTCTCCATTGGCTGGGCGCCTGCTCTCCGCCTCGCTGCTATTGGCCACTGCTCACTGAGCTGTCAATCACGGCGCACGAGGGGGCTGCCGGCTCCGGGCGATAAATCGCGCGCGTCCCCCCCCCCCGCGCGCGCGCACATCCCCCCTCCCCCCACCCCCCGTGACTCTTGACATCTGTCGGCGCGCCTAGATGGGTCGTGTCGGGCAGAATTTTTTTTTATCGAAGTGGAGGATGGTGGTGGGGGGGGCCGTGGGGGTAAGGTGGGGCGAGGTAGCCGGGGGACTGGGTGGGAAGGAGCCGGAGCGGGGTGGGGGGATGAGGGTTCGGGGGAAGGTGACTGCTGATGCTTGTAGAGGAGGAGGTGGTGGGGGTAGGGAGATGTTTGCGGGTTGGAAGGGAGGGTGTTGACTGCCTGCCCATTGGGATTTACTGTGGTGGTGGTGGTGGAGGGGGGTTGTGTGGGGTTCGTGGAGTAGGGGGGGGACTGCACAAGCACGTGCCAATTCTTTCTGTAGCCCGCGGGGGGTGTTTGGCTTAAACGGGCGTGGGTCGGAGCAGTGGGTGTGGGGGGTGGTCGATGTTTAGGCATGGGAACTAACACCTTCCTATGTGCGCGCCCGACACAGCCCTGGACGGAGTAGGAGGCGAGTCTTCTTCAGTCAGCCGACCGATTCGAATGGCAATCACGAGACGCTCATTGCTCTAACCCTGTAACGCCACCGAGGACCCATTATTAACAAAGAGAGAGAGAGAGAGATTTGATTGAAAGCTTTCGTGACTGCAGGGATTCATATTCTTGGTTCTTTCGGTAAAGTCTCATATTGTTTTATATTTTTTATTATTTTATGGTTTCCCTTCTACGTGACTTTACCGAAAGAACCAAGACTAGAGAGAGATAGAGAGAGTCCCTTTGCTTTTGATAAACATCGGGAGGATTCGGCAGCATTGTGTTTTTGTGTGTTTTAAGTGAGCCTCACTCTTCTGATGAGATACTGAATGTGGAGCGTGGTGTTTTGCTCGGATATTTGACGGCCCAACGCTGCATAATGGGAAAATAAATCGCTCCCGGCACGCGGTGTGGCGGGTAGGATGTGTAAAATGGTGTGATCGTGGCGATAGAGATTATGGATGGAGGCGGTTATGTCTTCTTTGTGTGGTACACAGCGGAGTGCGATTTGGGGCATTCACTTTGTTTTTACTTTAAACAAGTGAAGCGACTTTTTTTGACCGTGCGCATCGAATATCAACATCGTTATCAGTTTCCACGAACGTTTTACGAGGTTTGGTCAAAGCCCCCCCCCCCCCCCACACGGTTTAACGGTGCGATCTTTTTATTCCGATATTAAGGAAACTACTGGAGCTTATGCACTTTTAAATCTCGAGATTGAAAACTAATTTCTTTGAACTTCTTGTTGGGTTTAGTTTCGTTTATTCCTTCCCACGCACCTCCGATTGGCACGGTTGGCTACGTACGGTGCGACATTCACGTAATTTTGTTTGATTATCTATCTCTCTGTTCTGAATAAATGCCATTTCCAAAAACATTCGCCTATGATTGTATATATATGTGGTGATAGAATACAATTTCGTCATTTACCGGTTATTACATTTCATGCTGCAAGCAAACTCCAATCGCTTGCTTATGACATCGTCAGTGGGCTCATGATGAATGTAAATTTGTTTTTTTAATTTGACTCCACCGGGAAGCGAACTCGGGGCATTGGGTTCATAGCACTGCGCACTATCGCCACACGTGTGTTCACGTGTGTTCACGTGTGTTCACGTGGGTTCACGTGTGTTCACGTGTGTTCACGCGGGTTCACGCGTGTTCACGTGTGTTCACGCGTGTTCACGTGTGTTCACGTGTGTTCACGCGTGTTCACGTGTGTTCACGTGTGTTCACGTGGGTTCACGTGTGTTCACGCGTGTTCACGTGTGTTCACGCGTGTTCACGCGGGTTCACGCGTTTTCACGTGTGTTCACGTGTGTTCACGTGTGTTCACGCGTGTTCACGCGTTTTCACGTGTGTTCACGTGGGTTCACGTGGGTTCACGATGTGCGTCCGCGGGTAACGGCGGGGGTATGAATTGTGGGGAAACAGAACCAAATGGTATCAACAAAATTAAACTTGTTTTTTGTTGTTGTTGTTGCTACATATGTTTATAATCGCATTCTCACAGTGCCCGCCGTTGTTTCTTTTTGTAAGGATGATCGATTCACGGTTTACTGACCTACGGCCGGCCATCGCGTGTTCTATTTATAAGAAAATCAACACATACGTTAATAAACACTGCGACCTTAAAACGAAACTATATATAACAATGGCCCTTTTTCGTAGCACGTAAAGTAGCACGCACATGTAGAATTTGCTAACAGCTACCATCCGTGCGTGTAAATGTTGAACGTTTTACGCCGTTGATGGGCTATTGGGTCCGCCTACGACCAAATCCCCGTAAATTTGCGCCCAAAGTTACATCTCATGAGCTGAACCGGTTTCAAAAGCCTGGTTATGCACTCGGAGGGGTGACGACATCACACCACGGCAGTGAGATGTTCACTACCTCGCTTGGTATACAGGAGATCGTGGGTTCGATCCAGACCCTGACGATGCCTGTATTTTTGGAGTTTGCGTGTCTCTATCCCACACAGCAGAGTGCGGTTTGGGCATTCACGATTTTGACACCTCCCATCCCCTCCCCCCAACCCCCACCTCCTCCCCCCACCCCCACCCCCTCCCTCCACCCCCAACTTTTCGACGCACCACAGCACACCCCGAATGTCGGCACGCACCACGAACTCGGCCGTCGTCGCACAAACCGAGCCACGCGACTCCGTGCCCGACCCAACACGGCCTCGCTTGGCCTCTCCTCCCCTCCATCCTCTCTCTCTCCCGCCCTAACACCAGTCCACCTCCCCTTGTCACCCCCCCCCCCCCCATCACACACACACAGAGACATTACGCTCTCCCTTCCCTCTCTCCCGTTTATACCAGTCCACCTCTACTCCTCTCTGCCATCATCCCCAACACACCTCCCGATCAACACGGTTGCCTACGTATTGCGCGAAAGAAGTTGAACTTACATACGTACACACACGTACACAGATCCGACTCCCCCCCCTCCCCCTCCCTTCTCACGAACAACAGCAGCCCACCTCTCCTCTCCCCTCCCCTCCATCCCTTCCTCTCCACGACACACACACACAGACCTCGCTCCCTCCCATACCCTCCCCGCTCCGCGCTGGTGTGGGTCGCGTGGCGCGCGCGCTCGGGGCACGCCCTCGCTCACAGCTGTGGAGACGCGAAGCCAGCCAAGTCGAGGCGTGCGCCTGTGTTCACGCTGTGTTCTGTGTGTGAGTGTGTGAGTGATCATGTGTATGTGTGGAAGGCTATGTGGCTGTGGGGAGCTTTGGAGCAGTGAGTGAGCGCTCCGCTGGGCTACGAGTCCGGCGGAGCCGAGTTGGATTACCGCTCACGGCCAACACCAGCGACGATTATTTGAACCGGTCGTGGGCCTCCCCTAAGTCGACTCGGACTCAAATGAGGACCTTGTGCGGGGTATAAACATCGCCACTAGGGAGACAAAGGCGACCGGGCGTGGTGCTGGCCACCCCTCCCCTCCCCCTCGTGCGCCGTGCCGGCTTTCATAGGTGCTTGCTGACAGCACTTGCCCCAACAGTCTGTTCAGGCTATGCGGGGGATCTTTGTCTTTGTGTGTAAGGATGTGGTTGTGAGGAGGTTTTGAGCAATGGGTTAGCGCGCTACGCTACGAGCCCGACTCCCGCTCACGGCTAACACCAGTGACGATTATTTTTAACGGGTCCTGGGCTTCTCCTAGATCGACTCGGCCTCAAACGAGTACCTGGTTCGGTGTGTAAACATCCCCATTGGAGAGACAAAGGCGGTCGGGTGTGGTTTGGCTACATCGCCTCCCTCGTGTTCCGTTCCAGCCTTCTTATTGGCTCGCGAAACACGAGGCGCGTGTATCGTTTAAGGTTGCTTTAATAATAACTTGAATTCTAACTTTTATAATAATAACAACTTTCATGACATTTATATTCTTGTTTCTTTCGGTAAAGTCACGTAGAAGGGAAACAATAAAATAATAAAATTATTATTATTTCCTGTCTACGTGACTTTACCGAAATAACCAAGAATATGAATCCCTGCAGTCACGAAAACTTTAAATCAAAATTTAATGACATTTGTCAATGCGTTCGTGTGCTTGATCCACGAAAGGTGGCGGGCCTATTGGGGAGGCCTTAATCCAGCAGCAGAATTGACCATGGTTGATAATGAAATTGGTCAACTGGAATAGAGAACGACTTAGATGCGTCGAATACCACACCACCCCTAAGCTCTGCGGTTCTCTATATATATCAAGGTGTTGTCTGCCAATTAATGAGTGTTTACACGTGGGAAGGAACCGTGGCACCCGGGGA